AATTTTTTTGATTTGTGGAGTGGAGAGAACAAAATAATTTTAACCTAACGAATTGCAAAAGCTTTATTCGTGTACTTTAGAGCAATTGCTTTTGCCGTGTGCATTTATTTTTTAGCTTTTACTTTTGCTTAGAGCAATTACTTGCGAGCAATTACTATTTTTTATTTACCCGGATTTCTTGAGCAGTTGCTTATGAGTAAAAGCTTTCGCGCAAAAAAGAGCAATTGCTCAAAATTTTTATTTACTTCAAGTTGAGCAATTACAAGCACACAATTATCAAGACTCAAACCAAATGTAGAGAATTTTTCTTTAAGCAAAATTACACACTTTTTATCTAACATTGTTCCTACAATCCTTATTAAATTCAAATTGAAAATGTCTATGGTATAAATTGATATTCAAATAACGGTAACTTTGAATTAATGTCTACTTTACAAATAAAAATGAAAACTTAATTACACTGTCATTATCTTGTCGTAGTTTATAGCATCTTTTATATTACTAGAGAATTTATTACCATTTTTTTTTAACTATATTAGGTGGGTTGGCAAATTGCCTCACAGCCAACCCAGCTCGTATATTAATAAAAGTGCATCTGTAGTTACATCTTTAACTGTTAAGCTTGCAAGCGCTTGTCTTCTTTATTCATATTCAATGAAAAATATGAGCAGTTTTATTTGACCTAAGTATAAACATGTAAGTGTTTAGAATTTGCTCTATGTTCGAAAGTTATCAAACTTAAACATTAAAATTGCAGCATCCGCCCCTGTATACCAAATCTTTTTTTTTTTTTTTAATTATTTTGAGTTAAGAAAGTTTCTTAAAAGTTTGGTGAGTACCTTTTTAAGGTAGTGAATACCAATATTTTAGCGCTAAACTTACGAAAAATTTTACGTAAAGTTTAGGGTTTAGAGAATACAATTTGCGATTAGGGATTGCAATCCCGCACACTTTTCAATCCCGCGGGATCCGCGCAGATTTTTAAATTTATGTGCGGATCCCGCGCGGGATTGGTAGATTTCTTATGCACGTTATAAAAGGCAAAATGATAATTGTATTTTTCTTTCAATTATTTCAGAAAAAATATACTCAACTTATTAAATTGATAAGATGAGGTAAATGAAGCCAAAAACACAGTTTATTTGTAAATCAATATAATTCTTAATTTAATTAACAAAAGGATAAGATAAAAATACGTAAAACGTCTTTTAGCTTTACGTAGAGCGTCTTTTAGCTTTACTTATTTTTAAAAATAAGTATGAGAAAGTATCATTGTAAGAAATGCGCTCTTAACAAACAGACCCTACTTAAAGTATCATCACATAATCTACTCCTCAAAGGACTGCATATACAGCCAGCAGCTGAAAAAGCTCGCTCAGCCTCTACGCTTGTTGCTGATATGGTCATCAAGTAATTATGAGCTATATCTAGAAACTTGCCTTTTACTCCGTTATTTTTATAGGCAGACATTTCCTGCTTCAATAATTTATCAAAGTCTAAAGAATCTAAATTTGGTAACTCCTTTACATTTTCTGTCCAACTTTTCTTGTATTTCTGTATATGATTTTCCAATTCTTTTTTCAGCGATAGAATTGTAGGAGTAAGTATTTGGGAATTGATAATAGAATCTACAGCTTCTTTTTCTTCGAGTTCATTTTCTTCGTCTTTATTTCTTTCAATTCTATAAACTCTTGTCAATTTTTTTTTGTTTCTTGACGCATAACGGTTCTCTTTGGCATTGAAAAAGTATTTTCATTTTTTTTAATTTCTTGTTCATATTTTTTAGGATTTTGTAAGTAAACCAGTAGTCCATTTAAATTCTTATTACGACGTTGTGTAAACACCTTACGAAGTGCCGCGGCTAAATCAATGCTCAAAAGTGATGATTGCTTTTGTAATTTATCTAACATAAATTTAAAAGTTGTTTCCGCAGTGACAAGGTTCGATTCTCTCCTGCATAATAGTTCGAGACTAAGTTTTAGTGGTGCCAGACAAATAATTAAGTCATTAATTTGGGACCATTCTTCTTGGGTCAAACAAATTTCTGACCCAACATCAATTAAGGCTTTTTCAATACACACTTTTAGTCTATGAAATCTTTCTAACATATCAAACATACTGTTCCACCTAGTTTTACAATCAAGAATCAACTTAAGCTTTTTGCCGTGTTCATGTTGGACATACTTCTGTAAATATGTATCATTTTTGACAGGAGAGTTTTTAAATTTTTTCACAACCTTTCTCACTTTTTTCATGAGATCTTTGTAATTGCTAACCAATTCAGCAGATGGTCGGTCCAAAATTATTGTCAAACCATATTCTTTATTTATAACTTCATCATCATCAGTTTTCTCATGTTCATCTTCTTCTTTGCAATTTTCATTTGAAGTAAACGATTCTTCGACTTCTCCGTTGTTTTTCTTGTATAAGATATCAATAACTGCAAGTTGTATTCCATGAGTATAACATAGTTGATGATAGCAAGACATCATTTTACTGACTTTCACCATCATACTTGCTCCATCAGTGGTCATGACGATAATGTCTTTTTGGAGGTCGATATTGAAGCTATTTAGCTTTCCTGCAACTAACTTGACGCAGTATTCTGCATTACACGATCCATGGATTTGAATCAATCCAAGATTAAAGTGTTTTGCCTCCATATGAACATTTAAGTTAAGGTATCTCTGACTATTTTGTGATGTCCATTCGTCAAACGTTATTGAAAACGTTATTAATTTTGCTTTTTTAGTGATATAAATTTTTGCATTATATTGGCTTTTACAGAATCTGAGAATTTTACTACCATCGATCTTATAGTATTAGGTGAAGTAGGGAGCCGGAAACCACTTTTTGAAAACAAATACCGCAAATCTGTAGATGTGCAAAAACTATTAAATGTAAAGCCATCTTTAGCAACCGTGCGCGATACCATTTTTTCCATAGAAAGTTCTTTTACGAAAAAGGCGTCTATAGTTTTGACCTTTTTTGATAGAATTACCTCTTCGTCTTCGTAGTCGATGTATATTTTAGACTCTAGTTCAACTGATTCATGCTGTTATGAAGTTGAGGCTCCGTCTTGTTGTAAAACGTTTAATTTTAAATCAGTTCCATGTTTAGTTTTTAAATGGATTAATAACCCTTTTGTTCATCTTTGACTAATTCTTAAAATAGCCGAACATAACATGCACTTCGCATTTTCTCCTTTATTACTTTTGTTAAAATAATTCCATATAGTTTTAATTTGCGACATGCTTAATAGGTACTTATGTTTTAAAATCTTGATGTAAATAATTTTTGAAGTCTTTTTAAAAGCTTTTTATTAATCACGTTTTTAATTTAACGTTTTCAACATATTCATCAATAAAAATTTCAATATACTCATTAGCAAAAATTTTAACATAGTCATTAACAAAACAAAAAAAATTTGAACGAGTTTCTCAGTATACATTTCATTGTGCACTTAATGACTATTTTATGAACAAAACAAAAAAAAATTCGAACGAGTTTCTCAGTATACATTTTATTGTGCATTTAATGACTAGTAAACTTTTAAATGAATTTGTTATGCAAATACATTAAATACTTTAATTTGATATCTTTTTCGTCTTAGTTTATAGAATTGTTTTTTTTTTAATTTAAAAGCAATAATTTCAAAACTCAGATAATCCTGCGGATCCCGCAAATCCCGCGGATCCCGCAGTAGTTTTTGCGGGATCTCACATGCGCTAAAATAAGATGGGATCCCGCGGGATTGCGGGATCCCTTAATGCGGGATTGCAATCCCTACTTGCGATTAATTAAGGAAGGTTTGAGGTTTTGTGAATACAATTTTCGATTAATTAAGGAAGGTTTAGGGTTTAGTGAATACAATTTTCGATTAATTAAGGAAGGTTTAGGGTTTAGTAAATATAATTTGCGAAGTTTTTAACTTGTTACAAACTTACGCAAAAATAGAACTTATAAAAATATGGCAGTTAGGCAACCTGGTGTTTGTAAAGACACATTACAAGTATTTTAAGTATAAGTGATATTTCTAAAGAAAGAGGTAAACCCTGTTAAGCATAACTTTTACAACGCTTTACCAAAGTTTAAGAAAAGAGATATTAGTCGCTAATTGATGTGGCCTATCAGAGATCCCTTTTTATGAAGTGAAACAATTTTAAAAACATCTAGAAAGATTTTGAAAGAGTTATTAATCATCGTGCAAAAAGGCTAAGAGAAAAAAATGGGAAAAATGTTTGAGAAGAAATGTGGACCATTTGGATATAAAGTTTTTTTATTTTGTAGAAAATGTGTATTTTTCATTAATAAGTGTATATAGTATGATTTTTCAAAATATCTCAGTAAGTTGCTATTTTTATTTCTGTCCCATTTAGTTTTTATTTAAATTTAGTTTTTAATGTTTGAGATTATTTGATTTTATACCTTTTTTTATTTTATAACTTATTTAAAAATAAACAAAATAAAACCTGTAATTTTGTTTTTACAATTGTATTGTTTATAATTTATAGATTTCCTAATGTATTGTGGTTAATTCTTTCAAAAGATCCAAAAAGAAAGAACAATGAACATTATCGCCAATGTGCTGGTGTCTTAAAATATACGTAATAAAAAGCAAACAACTCAAAACAAATAATAAAAAAGTTTATGAGTTTCTTTTCATTTAGTTTAAAACTTCACATTATCTTTTCTAAAATATTAGATTTATATTGTAATTAAATTCAGTCGTCCAGCTAATTTTTAAAGCTTACTTTTTATTAAATATACTAGTTTACTTTCTATATATATACAACCAAGTGACAGTAAAATATATTAATAAAGACTTATAAAAAATTTAAAAGGGTGGCACAAGTAAAAAGAAATGTTTTAAAATATAGAATTTTATAGCAACATAAATTATCAAAAAGCAAACGCTTATTCAGTGTAATTCACCGTTATTTGGTTTAGGTCAGCGGGCATGCACTATTTTAAAAGCAGTATAATTAGTGACCACCTGATAGGCGTCAGATGAATAAACAATTTTCAAAAGATTGATGGACTTAAAGAGATTTTTTGTTCAATTTAAGGTCACTCGATCATAAGACCAGTTTGCCTTTAGAAAATAAAAATTTTGCTCATCGCCGGAATATTAAACGCTGACCCTTAGCCGCTGTTCTTTGTATTCTTAGTTAACTTACTTTGGAATTGAACGCATGGAGCTTTACGATTTTGTAAATTTTCAAGTTCTTGCCGAACAAGTTGTAAAAGAGAAAATTGAGGAAATGAAAGGTAAAACTTTTTTATTTTTGTTATTATTATTATTGTTATTATTGCTATTATTATTATTGTTATTATTATTATTATTATTATTATTATTATTATTATTATTATTATTATTATTATTATTAGTTTTCTTATTGCTTTTTTTTTTAAAAGAAATAAAAACTAGAAAGTTTATAAAGCAAAGAGTAGTTTGTTTTAAAAGCATTTGGTGCTATTGTTACATAAACCTTTTAGTTTGATTTCACTTAAAAATTTTATTAAGATTGAATTTTAAGAGAGTTAAAATTAGCAAATGCGCTAAAACGTTAAAATGAACTTGCAGTTTTAAACATAAAAGTACGTACGAAAATATATATAATTTATTTTTAACGCTTAAATATTTCTAGAGCTAGAGAGTAAACTGTGCCAAAGTTGTCGAATATGTGGAGACCGGTCATCAGGAAGACACTACGGTGTTCCGTCGTGCGATGGCTGTCGCGGATTTTTTAAAAGGAGTGTTCGTCGAAATGTATCTTATGCTTGTAAATTCCAAGGCGAGTGTGTGATTGATTTAAAACGTCGAAATCAGTGTCAATTTTGTCGCTATCAAAGATGTCTTAAAGTCGGAATGAATAAAAACGGTATATTTAAATACTATTTTTTGGATAGTTTTTATTAATATTATTTTTTTTTCTACAATTACATAATTTAAAAAAAAAATGGTACGTTACATACACAAGACTATTTTTGAACATTTTTATAGACGGAACCATTTGCTTATATAACTTGGAACGTGTAATTTCTTTATAATTTAATTATTATGGTTGTTTAAACACTATACAGAAAATACTTAAACCTGCCATGATGTTTTAATCACCTAAATATTCTGTATGAATTGTTTTCTGTATGATGCACACACTAAACTTTAAGTAAAATAGAGTTTGCATCATATTCTTTTTTTTAATATTATTGTACGTTTAAAAAGTTTTTTTTCTTTATAAAAAAACCCGCTACTTTCTCGTTTGCGTAAATTTCTCTCTTGTTCATTGTTTTGTTTTATTTTTTAATTTGTATGACCCATTTAGAAAGAAAAGGAAGGTTTAGTTAAATTTTCCTTTTATTGATACTAATCCTTTAACACATGTTTTTTGCCTCACATGCTATGTTCCATCCCACATGTTTCGAATTATTTAAGTTTTAAAAAACATATGGGTAGAACATAATTAGATCTAAATAGTAAAGAAAAATTTTTTTTGCAAATTATTATATCAAAGGCAAGTGGAATTTTAAGTAAGTATAAAGTTTTTTTTCTGCATGGAGTAACGTTTTTACTTTTTTAATTAAATTTACTAAACAAACTAACTAAATCAAGTTTGTTTTTTATTTGAAAAGGTTAAGCTAATTTTATAAGCTATATTGTTTTACTTAAAGTTTTTAGGTAAATTTATTTTATTACAAGTAAAACCTGCTGGTCTAGACTCAGCTTTAAATTTTTTTATACTTCTGCTTTGTCGAAAAACAATTTAAATCTTAATGTTGTAATAACGAGCAAACGGTTTATATTATAATATGCTCGCGTTCACTTAAACATAAGTGAGTTGTTTTATAATGGAATTTAAATGAGCTAAAATATGTTATGCTCAAAACAACCCAGAAAATCACCAGGTGAAACTAAAAGATATCGCAACCTCGTTACCAGTACCTTATCTGTTACTGTTTAACCATGGCAGAAAAAAATTTTAATAAAATATTGTTATTTATTACTAAAACGTATTAGATTTTATCCTTTTAAATTTTTTTTTTATAGTTTCCAATAAAAAATAATATCATAAAACTGTTCGCTCAATCAGATTGTAGAGACGTACTAGTAACGTCAAATACGAAAAATATTCTCTTCAATATTTAAAGTTAAGCCACGTGACTTACGGGTTTCAAATCACGTGCTGCACGGGTTTCAAACCACGTGTTTTTAGAGCCATGTCAATTTTTGTTGATCATAGCTTTTAGTAAAAACATATTTTACACCAAAAATTTGATGGGTAGACAAGCCCTTGTAAATAATAAACCCAAAAAATAATTTTAGTATTAAAATATAAAACATTTTTAATAATTAAAACTCTCATCTAAATAAATCTAAATCTTTAAAACTACTAAAATATCGTAAATTCTGAGTAACTAAAATCTTGCTAGAAATGTGCAAAATTGTAGTGTTCCGTTACAAACACACAAAATTGTAGTGTTCCGTTACAAACACACAAAATTGTAGTGTTCCGTTACAAACACACAAAATTGTAGTGTTCCGTTACAAACACACAAAACCTTTTATTTTCCAATTGAATACAAAACTGCATTTTTTTTTTTTTTTTTTTTTTTTTTGTGTATAACGATATAAATAACTCAAAATAAAAGAGTATTAATTTTTTTTAGTTTATTTTTTAGATTTCGATCAAGTTTAATTTTTTAAAAACTTTAATTATCTTTTTATTATTATTCCAATAAAAGTTCGAAAAATAATGCTTCGAAAGCATTGGAATAATAAGTTCAAAAAATAATGCTTCGAAAGCATTGATAATGCCTTAGCAAAAAATGTTTACTTATTTGTATGATCCCTTTATTAACAGTAGGTATTTGAGAAAGAAAAGCAAGCGGATTTACTACAACTATTTTTTTAATAAGTTTTAAAATTTTGCTTATAGTAATTAATATTCTATTAACTTGGAACTATAATGAAGTTTTACGGGTAAAGGTATAGAATTGTGAAGAAGTTTAGGGTGTAGAAATTAATGTTGAAGAAATTAGCTTTTCATCAACACCAATAGTTATAGGTGTACAAAAATAAATAGTTGTGGAAGCGTTAAATTCTTTAAGATTAGTTTTTTATTTTTGTTTCATTTATACTTATATTAGATTAATTATCTAAAAAGTAATCATTATTAGTTTTTATTATTATTTTTTTTTTGTAGCAGTTCAACACGAACGACAACCCAAAAAGCCTCAAATTATTCCTAATCCTAATTTATTCACAAACCATTTTGATTTTTCATTTCAAAAAAGCACAATTACTTGTATGAACAGTTCAATCTCTCCGGCAATATCTCCTGCAGCATCTTACGATTTAAATAATTTATCCCCAACATTTGTAATGGAAAAATCTTTATCACCACCTGAACCAACATTGTCCCCAACTCCTTTATCAAAAAAAGCTTCACAATATTCTATTGAATCCCTTCTTAAAAAAGATATAGATACTCATGAAAACTACGAAATAAGATCTTCGTGTGCTCAGACTCGTTTTCCAATGCTAACTCCACCAAATTCGCCTTTAAAAGCTGTGTTTGAATCCGAAGTTAATCAAGGTGTTAATGAAATTTTATATAAAGTCCTTCGATCAAGTATTTCACGATTACAAACTATTCCCGCTTTACACGAATTCTCTCAAGAAGTTCAAATAAAAATGATAACAGACAATTGTATTCCCGTTTTTATATTAACTTTGCATGAGGCATTTATCCCTGTTGATATGGTGATGATGTATTTACGCAACTGCATGATTGAGCAACATCTTGCAGAAAGTAATCAGATTCTTGGAAAAATTGAAGTAGTCTTACGTGAAATGAAATATTTGGTTGTTGACGCAACCGAAATTGGCTATATGAAAGCAATGTCATTATTCAAACCAGGTATAAGTTTTTATAAATCTAAAAAAATAATACTTATAGAAATGCATTATAATTTTAGGTATATTATAGTTTAATGTTTGGTAAAAAGTGCTCAACTCGCATTTGATTAAAAATTAATCTCAGTTATTGACAGGGGGTTATATAACAGATGTTAATTATTAGACTAAGTTAAATTCACTCGTTTAATTCGTACAAATAACCAAATAAGTAATAAATTTTTACTTCATGGTAATCTACAACTTTTATTCTACTTTTACGACATGCATAATTATGTACGACATGCATAATTATGTACGACATGCATAATTATGTACGACATGCATAATTATGTACGGCAAAAATATACCAAGAATGTTGTAGTATTAGAAACAAATATTTTTAAAAGTTAAGTCAAAATTAAATTAAAAAATTCATTGAAAATTAAATTAAAAAATTCAACACATACACATAAAAACATGTAATGTAACGTTAGGTTTCTGTGCCTTTCGGGTGGCTAAAACATTACTTAGGTTTTATTTATGTCTCTGATTATAACTAATATACCCAGGGCCGCCGAGAGCCGTCACACTGCCAGGACATCAACCCTCAATGGCGCCCTAATTTATAAGAAGTGTGTAAATAAATTGATAAATTTAATTACCCATTAAGTTTATCATTTTATTTACACACTCTCCTACAAACAATTTTGTTAATTTATGGCGATGCACTTTCTGTTGTTTTCAATTAAAACAATGAAAGCTTTATCCGAATAATTTTTTAAAACAATATATAAACACACAATTAGAAGTAATTATATTATTTAAAACTAAAAAGAAAATGTTATATTTGTTAGATTTTCGATTTTGAACTAAAAGTAGATAAAATGTTTTTTAAATAAGCTAAAATACATCTACTCCTTTTATAAATTTAAAACTGCCACGTGCATTATTAACAACGTTTATCTTTTTGTTTGTCATGGCATTTTAATTTGCATTTTGAATTGCGTGCGGGCGTAATTTTAATCTGGTTGTCTTTTTTTTATTAAGTTTAACAAAGGTATACATTGCAACATAGAGAATAACTACTATAAATACTTTTTGAAAGTTTTATTCAAATAATCACAACAAAGTATCTTGAAGATTATGGATTTATTATTAAATACTTACTTTTAGCTAGTATATGAGAGATGCCTCGCTGAAAATTATTGATCCAGGATACCTCAGTTAAAGCGTTGCTAACAGTTAGTAATAATTATTGGTCATAGCAGCAGGATTGCAGGTTCAAATTCCTTTGCCAACTCAGTGTATGAGTAGTACTTCGGTACGAATGGAACTTGTCTCGATTATCTCTGTTATTACGAAGTTATCTTCTCGACTAGTAAATAAATAATCTAGTCGAGTAAATGAAAATAAATAAATAAATAAAAGATTGTTTGCCCTGCCGCATGACTAATTGATTTTTTTAAATAAGTTTTAGTCGTCCACTGCAAGTATACCTATACCTCCGAACCACCGTAACGTTACACCACAGCGTATAACCAAAAATATTTTTAAAGTCTATTTTAATATGGCTCAATAATACGTCTTGTTTCGTATTGAATACTATAATTTGTATATTGTTAAGTTGTTTTTATATTATTTTTTATAAAGTTATCAAAATGTTTATATTTGAGCTTAAGCTTACGTTTACATTTGGCATAAGAATTTCCTAGAAATACTCCCTAATTGTCGAAACAAAAATTATTTAAATATTTATATTTCTCAAATAATTTATTTAACATTTTCATTATTTTTAGATCCACTTACTAATTTACAAAACTCATTGTTTCATCGACATTTTGCTGAAGCTCGATTTCATCTTAGCGAACACGTGACTCGCTTTTACAACAATAACGGACGCTTTAGTAAATTGCTATCTATATCAAACACTCTTCACAGTTACCCAGCAAGTTTGGCTTCTATTATTTTCCCGATAATTAAAGATGTGAAGTTATTTGTGAACCATTGCTCCTCAATTGATGGTTTTTAAAACGTTTGATTTGAAATAGTATCGCTTTTTATTGTCTTTGTAAATATTATACTTATTAAATATTACTTCCTTAATTTTATTAAATAAATATTACCTCCTTAATTTTATTAAACATCGGGTTAGCTAAAGAGTTATGAGCGTCTTTTAAAAATAAATTAATAACTTATTATCTCCTTAACTAATTTCCAGCAATATATAAACCATCATTTACCTTTAAACTCTAACTAATCCATAGACAAAGAACAAATGCTGTTGGCGTAAAACCCTCGAGGTTTTAACTGCTGTTAAAGTGTTTAATTTTTGTCGACTCTTTCTTTGTGCTAGTTGTTGTTAGGTGATCAGAACAAATGATTTTTTGGCATTAAGTTGGGCGAACGAGGTAACATTTCCGACTTTAGCTCCAATAGTTTGTGTTGTTTCAGTTTTGCAAGTCGGGCAAACTTTTAAGCGTTCCGATTTAAGATTGTCGCGGTGTGCTTAGTAGTTGCTTTCGTAATTTTCGCGTTCGGCAGTAGCATTTTCCATCAAGACAAAAACAACATTTTTTTTTTTTTTAATAAGGGGGAGGGAGAAAAGGTGGTGTATTTGGAATTTTGTAGATTCCAGATGTATACGGTTGTTGGATGGGTTTAGTTTTATCAGTTGTTTCAGTCCTAGTCACTGACACTTACTTGCATTTTTTATAAACAGTACCCTCTTCTCGTCTCAATGGATGAATTAGTGTAGCCTTGATTTGATCTTTTAAATAATAACTGGGAAAGATCATGGAAATCATACATCTGCAAAAAAAATTAGGGAATAATCAAGGAAACTGGGATAAATTTAGGAAAAAATGAGGAAAATGGCTCTTCGTCAAACTTACGTAACTTAAGTATGTAGTATATCATAAAATAATTTAAAATTTTATTTGGCAGATAGTTTTATAAATCTCTCTTATACTTTAAATATGGATTGTATTATTGCTTATATTTTTACAATTAAAGAGGATTTTTCAAAAGAATTTAAATCTAATCTTTCTACTGAGTTTGGGTAACTTTATATAAATCACGGAAAACACGTAGTAATTCATGGAAACCCACCTTAAAATATTGGCAGACACCCTGAACAAACGTGCGGTGCCAAGACAAGAAGGGAAAGTGTGAACTCTTTGTGAGGGAAAGCTTTTGAACTCTTTCGTTTTGTTTATTAGTGAAATTTAGCATTGTGTAATATATGGACGATCCCCTAGTGGTGTTACAAAGTACTATGAATGCATCCAGTTTCGCTTGCTTAGCTGTGCTTAATTAGATTTCTGTACAATTTAGATTTCAGTTACCTCTTTAAGCTCTTTAATCCAATTCCATTAGTTTGCCAGATCTGAGTTCATCTCGCAATTGCAACTGAATGATCTAAACAAACGGGTGATCGATTTTGTGACAGTTGTTACTGGGGGAGGGGATATTCAGTTTGTGATTCAACACATTGTTTTTTCAAGTTTCAAATCTTTTAAGTTATTTGAAAAGATTTAAAACGTTCCTAACCAATAACATAATCCCTTAGGGATTGTCCATAAATTACGCAACACCAAATTTTACTAATAAACAAAACAAAAAAGATCAAAAAATGTCCCTTGCAGAGACTTAGTTTAAAAAAAATTAAAATAGCTCATTAAGTTTAATGAAAATCGCCGTGTAAACGAGCTAAAGATCTCCTACTTCTTTTTTTATAACATATTTAGTATTGCATAATTTATGGACAATCCCTGAGTTGATGACTCAACTGCGGCTATTCCAACTTTAATTTGATTTAAATTTTATTATTGATTAAATCCAACTATTTATTTAAATTTTTATTAGAGTTGACTTTTTATCAGGGCAACCGAGAGGAGGGGAGGCGAAGGGGACAGTTTGTCCCAGGCAGTAGATATCCAAGGGACGCCGAATGAAAAGAAGATACTTAAAAAAAGAGGTCATTTATCTATAATATAGGGAAATTTTGATAAATAAGGGCGCCGATCAGGGTTGCTGTCCCAGGCGCCGTGACTGCTGTCGGCGATCCTGCTTTTTATAAACTGACTAATATTATGCTAGATTAACGTTTTAATAAATTGACTAAAATTAACTCGATTAACTTTTTTTTTTTTTTGTCGCATGCTTTCTTTTTGAACAGACGTGTTTTTGCAACGTAAAAATTTAAAGAAAAAACTGTATAATTTTTAAATCTTTAGTATATTTTATTTGTTTTTCTTGAAAATAATTCATTTTTTATATAATATCGCTGTTACATTATCAGAAATAGCAAAATTGTTTGAAGGCTATAAAAAAGAATTCGAATTGATGTTAAAACAACAGGAAAATTTTTTTTCGACATTATAGGTGGAAACTTAAAAATATTTAATGGGAGATCGGAAAAAGTCGAAAAAGACATGGAAGAATTGAAGCATAGTTTAAGTTTTCATGAAGAATTAATCGATAAAAAAGTTAAGAAAGCAAACGTTTTCAGTAAAGAAGACAATTCAGAAATTACACGCATACGAAAAAAGTTAAGGCAGATGGAAGATCGACCGAGACGTAATAATTTAAGAGTGGATAGAATAAATGAAAATAAATGTGAAAGCTGGGAGGAAAGCGAACTAAAGGTAAAAAATGTTTTTGAAGAATTACTACCTGTTAAAAATATCCAAGATGAACGGGCCCATAGAACTGGAAAAAAAGAATCAAATAAGCCGAGAACAATAGTGATAAAACTTTTGTTCGTATATTAACAAACGCAAATAAAAATGCCAATTCTAAGCATTTAATGAGGGAACTGAGAGTTCCTAATATCTACGAACAAAATATATATTGCATACTTCAGTTCATGTTTAAACTCAAAAATGATCTGGTCCCTGAAGTTTTTCATAACTATTTACACCTTATTAATCACAAATATCAAACAAAATTCTCTATCAAGAACTACTATATTCCGAAAACCTTTTTAAGACAATCTAAATTTTCAATATCCAGCAGAGGACCCCAATTGTGGAACTCATTTCTAACAAACAAAATAAAAACGATAAACTCATTCCAACATTTTAAATGCGTTGTAAAGCAACAGCTACTAGACCTCAACATAAATGAAACAATCTCTTATTTTTAAAATTTTTCCTTTTTCAATCTAAATTTTTTTTTCTTCACTTTTTCTTGAAATTCTATTATATTACTTGCTTGGTTATTTAATGAAGTTCATTGTAAAAAAAAAAAAAAAAAAAAATCGCATGTATTATAAATATTTTATTATATTTGTATTTGGTTTATATTTTATTATATTTTTGTCAACGACAAAAATGGGGCAAGAAGATAAGACTATTGTCTTCTACTTGCTTCAGTCATATATTTCACGGTAAAATGTTGTACAAATTTATATTAATAATGACGAAATATATATATATATATATATATATATATATATATATATATATATATATATATATATATATATATATATATATATATATATATATATATATATATATATATATATATATATATATATATATATATATAAAGTATATATATAAAATATCAAAAAAATATATAAAACGTGAAATTTTTAAAAAAACTTTTGGATTTTAAAGATAAAGTTGCAATTTTGAGCAAGTCAAGCACACTGAAAGGGAAAAAACATCTGTATAAACGAAGATTTCTGTTTTGAAACAACGCAAATCAGGGAAGGTTTGAGGGAGAAAATGAAAATCGAACGAGCGATAATTCGCGATTGGGTTGCAGAGAAAAGCAAAAATTCATCTTTATAATATTTGTCATAAATTAACGGAATTTTATTTCTACTTGTTTTTAAAATGGAGTAAAACTTTATAATTAAATTTTCGGCTGAAAATGACATTCTCGGTGATAATGACACCGACTCAAATTATTTTAATCACAAAATGTTAGAAAGTAAATATTACTCCGTTTCTGAATATTCGCATCATCTTCGACAAAATAAAAACATTTTTTCAATTTTAAATATCAATATTCGAAGTTTGAATAAAAACTTTGAAAATTTAAAAATATTATTAAATGAACTTAAATACGATTTTAAAATTATGTCTGACGGAAACTTGGTGCAAAAGTGGTGACACAAATTAATATTATTATTACTAATATTAAATTGAAAACCGTAGCGTAAAAATGAAAGCGAAAGTAATCACGTAAGAGATTACTTTATAACAGTTAAAATTTACTTTCATCTATTATCAATATTATTTTTAAAAGAGTTTATCGTCTTCACATTAACATTTTCACGATCTAAATTGTTCCAATTGTTACAAACTCGATTTAAGAAAAAGTTATGTCTTGCGTTACATTTTGGAGTGTATTCTCTGGAGAATTTGTAGTTGTGATTTCTGCTTTTTTTTTTTTTTGTCTAATACCGTCAACCGGGGTGACTTCGGACAGCGGGGTGACTCCGGACAGAGCATTACTTATTATTCTACTTCAGTTTCTTTTAGTGATGGCGCGAAACTACAAACGTAAACTAAACTTAAAAGTGTTGTATGGAACAAGCTCTAAAGAAGATATAAAAAAAGCTATAGAAGATCACAGTAAAGGCATGAGTATTCGAAAAGCTGCTGATAAGCATAAAGTCAAAAAATCAACATTGCATGATCACATTAGAAAACCCACCTTAAAGAAGGTTGGAGGCCAGACAATTATAAGCAAAGCAGATGAGGTACTCATTGCTCAAATGCTAGAAGCTGTTGCCGATTGGGGCTTTCCTATTGGAAGATTAGAAGTCAGAATGATGGCTTTTGATTTCCTCAAAAATCGCAATGGGTCAAACAGTTTCAATTTGCAGATACCTGGAAATAACTGGTTAAATTCTTTTATGAAACGAAACAATATTTCTGGGAGAAATGCTTCAAATATTAAACGATCGAGATCAAAGTTAGGAGTAGAAATGATAAATAATTTTTTTGATGAATTTGAAAGAACTTATGAATCTCTTGGTGGTATTCAACCTTCAAACATATTTAACTTCGATGAGACAAACCTTTCAGATGATCCTGGAAAAAAGTTTGTTTTAGTTCGAAGAGGAAGACGACGAGTGGAAAACG